CTAGAAAATTTTGAAAATTTCCTATAATGAACTCCTCATTTTCTTCTTTCTTCTGGAAAAATTTCACAAGTTTTGCTTTATTAGTTTTCCAGAAATAAATTAAAATGTGAGAGGATGAGTTTTTCTTAATTTTACTTGAAAAAATTATTTTTTCAGAATTTTTCCTGGAGCGATTTTCCATTGGAAAATTTTGAAATTTTCTTATAATGAGCTCCTGACTTTCCTCTTTTTCCTCTTTTGCCAATTTTCCAGGAAACAATTGAAATGTGAGAGGATGAATTTTCCTTAATTTTACTTGAAAAAGTCATTTTCCAGAATTTTCCCTAGAGTGATTTCTCACTGAAAAATTTCGAAATTTTCCTATAATGAGCTCCTCACTTTCCTCTTTTTCTTGGAAAATTTTTAAAATTTTCCCTCTGCCAGTTTTCCAGAAAAAAATTAAAATGTAAGAAGTGAATTTTGCTTAATTTTGCTCAAATAAGTCAATTTTCCAAAATTTTTTATGGAGTGATTTTTCATTTGAAAATTTTAAAATTTTTGCAATAATTTCTGTAATTTTCATAGTTTTTCGTAATGTCCATAATTCTCGTAATTTTTCGTTATTCACGTAATTTTTCATAATTTCCATTTTTCGTAAATTCTGTAATTTTCTTTAATATTGAGAAAATTTCCGTAATTTACAAATAATTCCTGTAATTTTGAATAATTTTGAGTAATTCCTGCATTTTTGGATAATTCCTGTATTTCCCCTATTTTTTTATAATTTCAGAATATTTTTTGAAATTTTGAATTATGTATATAATTACTATAGTTTTGAATTGATAATTTAAAAAATATAAGAAGTGCAAAAATTTCGGGAAATTTTACGAAAATTACAAAAATTGAAATTAGCAGAAATTACAAAAATTTTAAAACTACAAAAAGTTACTAGATTTTTAAAAAATTATGAGAATTATAAAAATTAACAGAATTAAAAAATTACGAAAATAATTTATCAAAGAATTACAAAATTAAAAAATATTAGAAACGAAAAAATCAAAAAATTACCGAATTTGCGAAGATTCCTCAAAAAATTACGGAAATTACAAAAATTAGGAAAATTATGAAAATTCCATTAAAAAATTACGGAAAATACAGGAATACGGAAAATATAGAATTAATAAAAATAAATTAAAAAATTATAGAAATTTCAAAAATTACAGGGATCGCGAAAAAATGAAAAAAATCGGAAAAATTGTAAAAATCACGGGAATTTTGAAAAATCACGGGAAATACATTAATTATTAAAAAATTACAAAAAAATCGGATATTACAAAAGCAATGAAAATAAAAAAATTTGAAAAATACTAGAAATTCAAAAACTATTCAAAATTACAAAAATAATTGAAAAATTACATAAAATACGGAAACTACAAAAAAATAACAAAAATCATTAAAATTGCAAATATCATGAAAATTTGAAAAAATTACAGCACTTACAATTATTGAAAAATTAAAATGAGAATTGCAAAATTACGAAAAAAACCGGGAATGGACATACTTATGTAATGTAAATTATTTTAAAAAATTACGGGAATTTCAAAAACTACGTGAAATTGCAAAAATCATTAGCAAATTACGGAAATTACGAAAAAATTACAAAAATCACGAGGATTACAAAAATCACGGGAATTTCAAAAACTATGTAGAACTGCGAAAATCATGGGTAAATTGCGAAAATTGAATTTGAAAAAAATTAGGAGAATTATCAAATTACGAAAAAAATTATTAAAATTTCGAAAACATTGGAAAATAACGTATAAGGGAAAAGTAACAAAAATTACGAGAATTGCAAAAATTACGAAAAATTTAAAAAGTTACGGAAACCACCATTATTAAAAACTAAAACGCAGAATTATAAAATTTGAGTATTACAAAAGCAATGGAAATTATTGGCAATTTCAAATATTACGTAGAACTACAAAAGTCATTGATAAATTACGTAAATTACAGAAATTATAAAAATGAAAAATATCGAATATTACAAAAAATCACGGAAATTTCAAAAAATATGGGAATTACAATTATTGAAAAATTAGGAGAATTATAAAATTACGAAAAAAAATCATGGAAATTTCAAAAATTATGTAAAATTACGAAAATTATTGGAAAATTACGTAATATGGAAAAATATTAACAAAAATCACAAAAATTTCAAAAAACCATGGAAATTACATTAATTATTAAAAAAATTGCGAGAAGAATTATAAAATTAGAAAAAAATCGAGTATTACGGAAAAAAATGAAAATTATTGAAAAAAATTACGCGAATTTCAAAAATTACGTAGAATTGCTTGGAAATTACGTTTTACGAAAAAAAAAAAAAAAAAAACACGAGAATTTCAAAAATAACGGAAATTTCAAAAACTTACGGGAATTATCATTATTGAAAAATAAAATAAAGAAATTACGGGAACTGAAAAAATAACAGAAATCACGAAAATCATAAAAAATTACGGAAATTAGGAAAATCATGAAAAAAATTAGGACAATTAGAATAATTATAGGAATTGCAAAAATTACGGAAAATACGAAAAATTGAAAAAAAAATATCGGAAATATCACAAAAATTAAGGAATTTGTTAATTGACGAAAATTACGAGAATTGCAAAAATTGCAGAAATTACGAAAAATTTCGGGACTACGGAAAATAATTACATTTTTAAAAAATTATGGAAATTAGAAATGTTACAAAAGTTACGAAAATTCTGGAAATAAATCACGGAAATTTATTAACAAATTGCAAAAATCGAAAAAACCCATGATGATTTTCAAACAGTTAGAAAATAACAAAAATTACAAGAATCAGGAATTAAACTTACAAAAATTATAAAGACCGGGAAATTATAAAATTTCAAAAAACGTCCAAGAAATTTGAAAAATTACGACTATTGAAAATTGATTTGAAAATTACGAAAACTATCAAAGTTACGAGAATTATAAAAAATTACAGGGATTACGAAAAAGTTGCGGGAATTACGAGAATTAGAAATCACAAAGGCTTTCGGGAAATGATTTTGAAAAATGCCCAGAAAAAATACGGAAATTACGGGAATTACCTACTAATTTTTGAAATATACAAAAACGTGGAGTTATAAAAATAGAGGAATTTTCTGAGAAACTACGGGAATTAAAAAATTACGAAAATTTGAAGAACAACAGGAATTAATAAAAAAATTATAAGAATTATTTGAGAAATGACAGGAATTAAAAGTTTTTAAAGAAAAATTACGGAAATTACGAGTCTTCGAAAATTACAAAATTTGCTACAATGAGCTCTTTATTTTCTTCTCTCCCTGGAAAATTTTCACAATTTTCTTGCCAGTTTCCCGGTTGTAAGATGGTGAATATTGCCTAAAAAAGTCAATTTCCCAGAATTTTTCCTGGAGTGATTTTTGACTGAAAAATTTTGAAATTTTTCTATAATGTGCTCCTCACTTTTCTTTTACTTCTGGAAACATTTCATAATTTTCCCTTTGCCAGATTTCTAGAAAAAAATTAAAATGTAAGAGGATGAATTCTCCTTAATTTTGCTGAAAAGTAAGTTTTTCAAAATTTTTCCTGGATTAATTTTTTACTGAAAAATTTTGAAATTTTCGTAAAATGAGATTCTCATTTTCTTCTTATTCCTGGAAAATTTTCAAAATCTTCTCTTTGCAAGTTTTGCAGAAAGAAATTAAAATGTAAAAGGTGAATTTTCTTTAATTTTACTTGAAAAAATCAATTTTTCAGATTTTTTACTGGAAAATTTTGAAATTTTCGTAAAATGAGCTCCTCATTTTCCTCTTATTCCTGGAAAATTTTCAAAATTTTCTCTTTGCAAGTTTTCTAAAAAAAAATTAAAATGTAAGAGGGTGCATTTTTTTTAATTGCTTTTAAATAAGTCAAATTTTTAGAACATATTTGAGATTTCAGTCGTAAAAAAAAAGAATGACCCTTTGTCGTTTGTACATGATATTTAAGAATACCCTGTATAATACGCAGTTAATTAATTTATATATTTGGGACTCCAATGATTTTTTAAGAGCCGATATTTCAATGTCACCTTAAGATATAGAATAAACATAGACATTGACAACATTGTCTGACCTTGTTCGATGACGTCATCCTTAATGTTAATATAAGATAAAAACTGTATATTTTAAGGTAAGTCTTGATTTTAACAATAATAATTGCGAACGTGCTCTATGAATTAATCAACGAGAAAAACTTTTTTCTAAATTATGACGTCATCGATAACGTAAGTAAGTACAAAAAGTGCAAAAAAATACATAAAATAATTTGGTTGCACTAATTTTTTATATAAGTGTTAGGTAGTGCTATGGTGGGATGCCGAATACGAGTGCTAATTTTTGCTTTAGGGGTGCTTAGCACCCCCAAGCATTCCTCTAGTTGCGCCTATGGTGATAAATTTACCTGCACCTGTGGACATCGGATTGTGAACAGGATATAATTATTCATACCGCTTTTGAAAATGGTGAATTCACAATTCAACGTTTAAATAAAAATACCTAATAAAAAATTTAAGTGTTTTTTGAACGACTTTTGGGTCGAAATTTGGGTTAGTTTGGGTTACTCAAAAAAAAATTTAGCCTCCGGCGGGGGGCTTGTGATGGGCCCGCAGAAATGTTGGCACACAGGCCCCAGGGGTCGTATTTTCGAATATTTTCGCATACGAAGTTTACTTCGATTTCGAATGCTCCCCATTTAATTTACATTGCTGTCAGTCAAATTTCGTGTACGAAATGTACTCGAATGGATTCGAAAATACGACCCCAGAGCTGGGTTGATACGCCACTGTTGTAGCGACTTGAATAATAAAATAATTGCAACGGTAACAATTCTTATCCTTATTCTTATAAAATGGCTAAAACTAAGGCGTTATTAGTGGACATTTCCATAACACCTTGGCTGATTAGATCTCCTATTTTGAGGGCTTTTAATTATTAATATCGATCTTGATGAGAGAAATAACGCAGAGTCATAAATGTGACAAAAAAAGAGAAGAGATAATTTTGCCTCAAAAGGTACGTTTCAATATCTAGAAATTTAAGTTAGCAGAAATTACACTTTGCAACCAAACGGGACCGTCTGAATGTAAATTTGAAGAGGAAGAAAAACACACATTAAAATCTATAAAAATCCACGTGCTTGTTTGCTTAAATTTTTCTACTGTCAATTATCGAGGCAGCATTGAAATCGTACATTAGAGATTTGATTTTAATCTTTGATCTTGATAAAAAAAAATTCTAAACGTTCACTTTTTTTCCAGGTTTGTAAGAAATTTAACGAAATTGGCGGCAACCTCCTATCCAGAGGCTTCTACCAGTTAGAAAAACGTCACGTGGCGATATACAAACGTGTCAAATCGGGTCTACCTAGAAGGGAATCGGAAAGAAAATCTCACCCGTTGGCCAGGTACAATGACATTCTACAAGCCGTCGAAACCAGGCTGAGCATGATGAACATGACTTATCTGAGATATATCGAGAATGGACAGATTTGTTTTATTCCTGGCAAGGTAAACTAATCAGTAATGATCACATACATCTTGACCATTTGTTCTTAATAGAGATTTCTTTTAGGTTTTAGATGAGACAAAGAGAATTTTGGATTTGGTCCAGGGCGACGGAACTCCGCCAAGAGCTCATGTGTTGCTACAAGAGCTACGAGACTTGAGCAGTATGGCTATCGAACATTTTGACGAGCACATATTGCCTAAGTGCAGGGACGAAATTCAAAAGAAAACAGGTATCCAGATTTTCAGAAATTCAGAATTTCACTATTTACAATTTGCTGGTAAATCTAGAATCTAGATATTTTTCCTGTCGACAAGATGTTCTATCAGTTCATATTTTAGTGATAGTATTTATTGAATTTTTTATTAAAGTTAATATAAGATTAGAGTATAATTTGACTATCTACTATTTTTTTTTCAGCCCAACTGCAGAGGGAATTGTTAGAACGTACGACATCCGCAAGGATGGTGTTGCATGAACCCCTCGGGCAACCATTCAGCTTTGAAAAAATGCTAAAATTGAAAAGGATTTCGAAAGACCACAAATATCGAATCACGTATTTGACGCAAAATACACAAAGATTAAATTTAAAGGTAAGAAAATTAATTTGCATAAATATTCATATCTTGATTCTTGATCTACCAATCAAACACTATTACCAAGGTCATTTAAGAGAAGGTTCAAAAGTAACACATTTTTGTTTCCTTGGACAGTAACTTATATGGCTGTTAGATAGAGTTCTACAGGCTGTGTAAACTGTAAACTCTATATAAAATGATACATATTTTGGTTAACTTTTATTGCAAAAAGTGAAATTTTCAGCTTCTAAAGCAACTACCATTGTGTGTGTGGAAAAATTGCTTTCATAAGTCTACTAAACTACTTGTGAAATTTGTAAATTTTTCCCAGCTTTTGCATTTAGAGGCACTTGCAGAGATACTTGTATAGCTTGAACAGACTTTAAACTTTCTGTAATGGAAGTACACTGATGAATGATTTTTAAAATCTTTAATTTCTATAGCACTTGAAAACAAAAACAGTGAAATTCTACAGCTTTTGAACCATGTAGACTGATTTATGAGCATTCCTAAGTACATTTCTGTGTTACAGTGGGGTTCAGAACAGTTATTATTATTATTTTTGCTTTTTTTTTTTGTTTCTACTCGGTTAGCGATTTTTCATAACATTTTATGCGTTACATTTTCTGCGTGTATTGTTGAGTCCTTTATTATACAGTGTGTTTCAAAAGTCTGCGAACGGTCAAATATTTCCAGAGTGGCTTGAAATATAATTACGAAATTTTATGCATATGGGTAATTAATGATGCCCGATTCAATGATGATATCGACAATGTTACCAAGTTTACCGGTTTTCAGATAATGTAGATAACTTCGTTTTTCTAAATAGGAATACCACTTTATTTTCATTGCAATAAATTCGGTGCTCTATTGTTACTAAAACCTCTTGATATCATGTTCCTATTTTACACAGTTTCTGAAATATTGCAACACAGCATTTTTGTTCAAAAGTCTGGGAACGCTCAAATATTGCCAGAGCGGCTTCAAATAGAACTACGAAATTTTCTGCATATGAGTAATTAATGATGCCCGATTCAATGATGACATCGACAATGTTGCCAAGTTCATCGGTTTTCAGATAATGTAGGTAACTTCGTTTTTTAAATAGGAATGCCACTTTATTTTCATTGAGATAAATTCGGTGCTCTATTATTATTGAAACCTCTTGATATCATGTCCCTATCTTAAATGGTTTATGAAATATTGCAACACAGCCTTTTTGTTCAAAAGTCTAGGAACGGTCAAATTTTTAAAACAACTAAAAGTAGGATTACATATTCTAGGGGTCAAGATCGAGATTTGAGAAAATATCACTAAAAAAACTGGTTGTCGAGTATAAATTGATATTTTATACAGGGTGTATCAGGTTTGACTACAAAAGTTTCAACCTCGGTTTTAACACTTGAAAATGGCCCATTTTGAAGAGAAAAAGTTTTTACAGCATGACGTCCAAACCAAACGAAATCATTTTTAAGAAAAGGATCTTTGAAGTTATGACAATTTTTGATCATTATGAGATAAAAAAAAAAAAAAAAGTGACTCATTCAATTATTAAGTAATAATGCATTTTCAGTTAACAACAATAAAAGAAAATTGAAAAAACATGACACCTTCACTCGTAATTCGGTATATAAACATTTGGCAACATAGCACTTCACAAACGACGAATATGCAGATACTTGGTAAGGCAGAATCGTTGCAAAATGCTCATTTAGCCGCCAGAATTTGCAGAGAAAGATTTCCTAATAGAAGGACACCCACCTGATGAAAGAATATTGGGCCCCTGTTACAAGGATTGCGCGATATGGGAAGTGTAAGTGTGTAAATTTTTTTCTCTTGAATGTACATACAGTGGAAAAATGTCATTGAGTGCAATTCACAACTTAATAAAACGGCACATTTTTTATTTTTACTATAAAAGTGATAAAAATGCAAATTATTATTTACATTATTTGAAAGCGAATAACAAGCCATGACGTAAATTATATTTTCGATTCAGAAACTTGTATTTTAAAAAACATTTATTTTATTGATTAAAATACAGAGGTGACAAAAGAAAATATTCGGATCAAATTGCTACAGGCTAAAGCCAGAAAACAAATGAACGTTCCTTATGGGACGGCATCGGCTTAAATAAACATTTAATGCCGACATAACAATTTGATGTTTACTTTACAAAAATGTATTTAAAAAGTCCTAGAGGAAAGGGGTAAGCACATTAAAGCATATAAAAAATAGATAATTGATTATAAATCAGCAAGGCAATTGGTTAATATAACTCCTCCCTCCTTAAGATGTTGCAAACGTGGATTGTTGTGAATTCAAATCAGACAATTCAATTTGCACATTTGCACAACCTTTTTCTGAAGTTTTAAACTTCCTAAAACAGTAAAACAGTAAAATTAAAAATAAAATAGCAAGACTTAAACCTATGATTACATATGTGTTTAAATAAGAGTGTTCAAAAGACAATTCTTTTAGATTATGAACTCTTATTTGTTTCGTCGTCTTGAAGGCTTCTTCTAAGTCTTCTTGGTTGATTTCTTGAAGTTCCAATGTTGTTGCGTTCTCTGGAAGTTCAGGGATGTCTATTCTTGGAATCTTCAGTTCAAAATTGAAGTTCTCGCTGGTTTTTGAAAATGTTTGATTTTGTATTTTCACAAATCATTTTCCAAACGAGACTAGCGTTGGATTTGTTATTATTTCCATATGGTTTGTCTTGTCACATTGAATAACTATGGTCAGGCTTTTCTTAGGAATGACTAATAGTTGTCCATTCGGGAGTTGTCTCACTGTTGGTTTTTCATATTTCACTTTAGTGAAAGGACATTGTTGTGGTAGGTCAGTAATCAGGTCGTAGACACATGATTCTTCTTGCTTCAGCTCTTCTTGGTTACAAAGGTACACACTTTCGACTTTCGGGCATTCCCATAACGTATTGTAGTAAATGTCCGTAGTAAGTAATAGGTAAGGCAGTGGCGGCTCGTCTTATAAAGCAACTGAGGCCGGGCCTCACATGTAAAAATTACAATAATGACGTAAAATTTTGAAATAATATTTATCAAATATTTAACGTTTTTCAACTATTTTCAATCATTAAAAGAATCAAAACATCGAATTTTCATTAAAATATAATACTATTTCTTGAATTTAGCGCGCGCTTCTACCTCTTTATCCTTATAGGCGCTCAAATCGTTGCGGGACAGCATTAAAATAAAATAGCAATCCCAAAAATTTTGGCCTCATGTGCGTCACAGAACGCCGAAGCGATGCCACGGCACTCCCCACCACAACGCTTCAACTGTAGGGGAGACGATAGCGAATTTTTATAGGTCTGAGGCGCACAATTTTGGGCTTGTTATTGTTAATAAGAAACCTTGCAGCGCTTGCTGCTGCGACAAGTATTTAATTGGTTAATTGGCTCATACTTTTTATTTTGGTCTGTTGCGGGTTAAAAAACTGTTTTTTGGAATTTATTTTGTTAATTTGAAACTCAATATTTGTATTAAAATAAGAATTATGTACCTACTGCTGTTGTTTTGCAACTGTAAGAAATGAAAATTTTCATTAGAAATATACAAAAAAAAATATCCGAGATGTTCTTTTGATGAAATTTTGGGTCAAAATTTGGGCGTAACACTTGAAAATTTTGTTTGGGTTTGTTTGGGTTAACTTGATGGGCCATGGGCCTCACCAGTTTGGATTGTCACGAGCCGCCACTGAGGTAAGGGTACTTATTCCTAATGGTAAGTTCTTGGATAGGAATTGGATAGATTTTATACAATATAAAGGGCTTGGGATCAATCATTGGTGTGTGTATAACAAATATAATTAACTCATTTTGGATTTTTACTTGAGTTTTCATTGTCTCGTAATACTTGATTTTATTATCAAAAGGTATTTGCTGACTTTTGGGTATATTTGTTAATATTTGATTTAATTCATTATGCTGTAAAATAGTATAATGCATTATTCCCAATTGTGCAAAACTTATTGCTAATTGCACATGATCAATAAGATTCCTTATTTTATTACTTTGAATATTGATGTTGTTCAATATTAGATTAAAGGTTAACATTGAGTGGAAATTTTGGTTTTCCAAGGAAATATTTTGTAATTTTCCTGTGATAACCTTTTGATTAGATTCAATGGTTAAAAATTGATCGTGAAATGTTTTTGTAACTTGTTTCAATACTTGAGCTTGTGTTTTTAGATCTTTATTGAGAGTCTTTTGATTATCATTAAGCGTCTGGATATAAGAATCATATCTTGCGCCGTCTTCAGCATCTAGGGTTCCGTAGAGCCATTTTTGTGCTGTGCCCATGAAATTTAATAGACCTCTTTTATTACGTTTTCGGTCTTGATAGGTTCTGATTACTTGTTTCATAATCTTAATTTGAGAATGACTGTTTTCAATATTTGTTTGAAACAGTGCAACAAATTGGTTTGACCAGGTTGTTTTGTTAAGAGTGTCAGATAATTTCATTAAGGTGATTTCCAGTTTATGGATACTTTGTATGATAATTGTCGTGTTTATGTGATAATAGGCCGTGTTATGTTGAGTTGTTACGTAAGTAGTTCCTAAAGAAATTGGTAAAACAGGATTTTCTACCGTCATCAATGTATATGCTTGGGTGACTCCAACGAGAGTTAGGAATACTAAAGGATTCATCTCGGAGTACCTGAAATAAATTATTGTCGTTTAACATTTTGTTTAGCAAAGCGATTCTGTGTTTCGCTATCATAACGCGGACTTATCTTGTCTCTATTAAATTGTTTTACAAAGATTGGATCTTGTAATTCTGGTTCAGGTTCACGATTTTTATTACGTGATTCTAAAGACTTTGTTTGTTTCGCTAATATTTTTTCTTGAATTTCTTTATTCAAATTTGCAAGGGATTCTGCCAAACTTGTTATAGAGTCAGTTGTTAGTTTATTTTCCGTTTGTTCGATTGGTATGGCATAATTCAAATCTCCTTTAATCACTTGAAAAGGGGTGTGATTCATTGTACTAT